TGAATCAGACGACATGCTCCCAAGTCTGTGGATGTCATCAGAGAAGAGAGCCAGGAGGCCAACTGAGACACGGTCTGGAATAGAGATCTGCAGGACGTCTGAGAGGGCAGCGCCACCGCCCTGCTTTCAGACCCGGCTCACAGATCTTCATTTTAGACAGGACGGTGCACATTTGTTCTAGAAGTCAACATTCGGTGTGTAAACAGATGTTGGTCATAAGACATAAATTTATCAGCGTTGTTCAAGCTATAATGCAGATGCAAGAGGAGTGCAAATGTCTTGATCTTTTTTCTTGTTATTTTTGTCATAGTTCAATGTTTAAGATCATCAAACAGATATTTTTTGGCAGGTCATGAGAACACAAGTAAATACAAAAAGCTGTTTATTTTTGATTTCACTAAGATCATCCAGACTTAATTACTTTCTGACCTGCAGAATCAAGAAATCCTTTAAATAATAGGTGAATAGGTTTTAAAAAGCACCACATCGTGGTTTAAGCTAGAGAAATTTAAGAACATTCTGCATGAAGGTAGTAGAGAGCGTGTTTACATACCGGATCTATTAGTGTTGCTCTATAGTTGCAATATGACAGACAGGAGGATAATTAGGAGGCTCTGATTTCGATTGTCCCTAACCTTTATCCATCAGGTGTTTTGGAGGCCATTGCACAAACATGGCTCCAAACATTATCAGATACTCCTTTCTTCTCAGTTTTATTATTTTCACATAGAAGAATAAATCTGACAGTTTGGGGTCCAGCTTTAGTTGTAATGGACATTACAACTTAAGCTGCAATGGTACATTCAAAGTGAATGTGAAAACCTGTGAAAAAAATGCCCTTTTTTGTGCTTTTGCTTGCCTAATGTTTTGCCAGAAAATGGCTGGTGAAGCCGCTGGGCGAATTTTTCACGATTGGTGAAAGGCTCCACTACATCACTGAATCTTATCCAGCATGTTTCACCATGGTGGGCCTTTCCTTCAGCAGATCCTGTGGAGATGTTCCCGCTTGGGGGAGTTAAGGAGCTATGGTTTGATCACGACCGCTATCTACAGAGCCGTAGTTAAGGTGAGATGGTTTACTGAAGCTCTGACAGAAGCACAGCAAAATCAGAGCAAGAACTCCAGCAGGAAGAGCACCAGAACCCACACTAGGGGGCCAGTCGTGCCCCCCTCTGGACCTAAGTGACCACAGTAGAAGATCTGAGGAGGACAGCGGTGGATCAGAGAAGTCCACTGGGCATAGAGAGCACAACAGGAGATCAGAGAAAGAGAGCACAGATGCTATCCAGTTTCAGGTATCCAGTTTTTCTTCAAGGCCATTAGCTCTCTGTTTTGTTGGGAAGCTGCAAATGGTTTTTACTTTCTGGATCCAGATTATCCACCTATAGAGGACAGCGGTACATCCAGAGTCTGCTGGGTAGAGAAAAAAGAGCTGGAAGAGGTGGTGGCAGCTGGCAGGTGTCTGCGCTGAAGCTAAGGGAGGACGACCGTCCTTCAAGGGCTAAATTTTTTAAAAGCCACCTACAAACCTCTTAAGAGCGTTCCCTTCTTTATCCTTTATCAACATTATTTCCATTCTGCCATTTTGACTGCGTAAATTTCGCATCTGCTGTGCTGTCTTCAATTTACATGACACCCACATGTGGTCCCTGATGGATTTTTATGACACAAACACACACAAATGTTCAGATTTTTTGACTATTGGAAATTTTCTTTTTAGTACTTAGCAAATTTTTGCCTCACTTTCTCTGCCAATTCTATTAGCCATCCTCTACATAGGGATAACGTAAATCGTTCACACCGGCTGTGAAATTAGTGTTTGGTGTGAAGGCATCACAAGCCTTTTTATGCCTTTGACAAGTTGACGATGTCTTTGCAGTTAATTCCATCTGACCTCAGATTAGCCTGACTGTTTCCTCTGAAGAAAATTGTCTTCAAAACATTTTCTACAGTGATTCACACTAATGATGGTGTTTGCAGCCTTCTGCAATGTTAGTTTTCCTCTCTGTGTTGGCCTATCCCAGAAAGTCCCAATTATATGCATCGAAATTTGGGATTCTGATGTTGCAAAATATAAAGATAAATTTAAATTTATTCATACTTAATGCAAGGCTGTGTGCTTCTAGTAGTAGCAGCATCATGCTACAGTAATAAAGTGTGATCCTTGTTGCAGTCTAAGAATTTTGCATAGTGGCTGTGGTGTTGCATTGTTATAGGTGTCTTTGGTAATATCATTTACTTTCAGATTAAAGAAGTTGCTGTTTTTAACTTCATAAGATCACTAATCGGTTGGTCCTGCATTTATAGCTATTTTGTCATTACCTAATGGGTTGTGTATGGAGATGAAGAATGAATGAACACTATCTTAGAGCTATATGGAGTCAATGACTGCATCATTAGATTGGCAATAAATAATTGCTGTTTTAAAATACTAAGAAACAAAAATAGAATTAGTTTTGTTTTTGGATGAGAAATCTTTCCTGACTTTTCTTTGGAAGTTGTTCATTTTCCTCTTGCATCTGCAGCAATTATAATCATATTAAGTAGTGAAGTATATTCTCATTTTTTAAGAGTTGTTATAAAAAAAAGCCCATAACAGCTGTTACACTGTAGGTCCTCTCTATGGATGAGTTTCTGGAAAGAAAATATTCCATCCTGCTCTCATCATCTTATACAACCAGTGGATAAATCACCTCATACTGTTGCCAAAATACCTGGAAACTGAAGGTTGGACATCTGTAAGTCACATCAGAATAATCACTTGTTGAAACAATGACTATCAGTGATGAATATCAGGAGGCATAAAAAGAGTTTTCTCAGTGTCTCTGCTTGATAGAGATGATTAAGGGGGATCCGATTGAAGGCTTTGCTATATAAAGGGTTCTGTTGTCTGGTGGAACAGAGTTGGAATCCAGATATTACCCCTTTCTGTTGCAGCAACAGACAATCAGAAGACCTCATCCTTTATACAGGGCTGAACACACATCAGGAGCTCCTGATGCTTTTGATCTTATTTAAAGATGGTTACACACTTTAATAATAATAATAATAATAATAAATCCAATTTGTACCACACTTTTCATTAACAAAAATCTCAAAGTGCTACACAGTGCAAATAAAATCAAAGATAAAAATCAACATCATAAAAATCATGTGGTCATTAACAAAAATCTCAAAGTGCTACCTTCAAATAACTGAAGAACATTTTCCAGATTAAGGACTATTTTCTCAGCAGGAACTTAAGTCTAACTGGTTTGCATAAAAGGTCGAAAAGCTGCTTTTGAGCCAGAATTCTGCTGTCTGTGTCCATACCAAAACCAAAACAAGTTTTTTTATCTTTTGTTCTATTCACGTACAGCATTTTGAGTTGTCTTGTTACGAAAATGTTCTTTACAAGTAAACTTGCTTTACATGTCTTTGAAGTCACTTGGTTTATCTGATGTAGTGGGCCTGGTTCCCCTCCAGCAAACGCCGTGCAGATAAATGTGACAGGGTTTTTCCCTTTAAACTTTCCAAAGCGAGATCATAGGATACACAGAAACGGCACTTTGTTAAAAATAACTGCTACTGGGCATGCAGGTGGGGCAGCGGTTACCGCGCACAGCCCATGTACAGGGGCGTTAGTCCTCGACACAGCCGACCCGGGTTCGAATCCGACCTGTGGTCATTTGCCGCATGTCTCTCCCCCTCTCATACCCCCTTTTCTGTCAGCCTGCTTTCGAAAAAACAAGCCACTAGTGCCATAAAAACTGCCATAAAAAAAAAAAAACTGCTACTGATGTGTTGCAACAAGGAACGTGAAGGTATTTCATTTCTTTAAAGTGAAGAAATTATTTCATATCTTAAAATAATCTTATTGCCAGTCCCTAAAAGGTGACACCCCCTATTTACAATACATTTGAAATGTAAGATCATGCTTTTTAACAGCACATTAAATGCAGACAGTGGTTCACTGTTTATTATTAGGCTGGGGCTATGTAATGAATCATTGAATGACTCCACTGTTAATCTACATTAAAATGGTACAATAGAATTAGCTGTACTGTGCCTATAAGGTGCAATTATAAATTTATTTTTTTTTTTTTTTCAAATTAGTACTAGCCATACACCAATTGTTTAGTTTAGTTCTCAATTAAAAAGTGATCAGCATAAAAACACATAAAAACTAGAGTTCATATTTTTCTATGAAAAATACAAAATGTATACAAAATATACAAAATATCAACTCAATAGAATCAAATAGAAGTAGTAAGGCAAGTGAAAATAACTGACACTGAGTTAAAAAGAAAAAAACTTTATTTTATTCACATCATATTTCTGGGGACATAATAATGTCAATTAAAGAAACATGGTACATTAAGAAATACGATTTTTTTTCAATTCATTCAATCGGTCCTGTATGAAAATGAAGGAAATGTAATATTTCGGTGAATTTATCAAAAAAGGCCAGAAGAGGGTAGGTAGCAGTTCAAACAGATGGTGAGCAGCCTGCTTCAAGATGTTGTTGGCCTAGGCCATGAAAACAACTATTACATACTTCTGTAATGGAGGGAAGATGATATCCAGTGGTATTTTCAACAGTATCTGTGATTCTCTGAAGAGCTTTTTTTGTTAGCAGCAGAACGTCTAATGTACCAAATGATTCATTTGATGTGGGTAAAAATACAGTCGATAGTGGCTGTGAAAAAAGGACTCAAACGAAGGGTCAAATAGAAAAGCTATTTGAAATTATTACACAAAAAAACATGGAAAGCATGCATCACCTTGTGCTCTGCTTGAAAAGAAGTTTCAGTTGTTGTCATATTTTTTTGTGTGAAGGTTATTCCTCCAAAATATAGACTCATTAGGTTCTTAATGTGGCCCATGGCACATTTTAAAGGGTCCTTAACTAACCCCCAAGTTGCCAACCAATATGTTGTATCACATGAACTCTGTGAATATGATTTGTCAAGTAAACATTTTAAGTTGTCAATATCTTCTCCTGTTTCCTTTCTTTTCAGGTTTAGAGATCAGCACCAGAACACTAAGCACCCCTAGCCCAGGTCTAATCTTGCCATCCAAGTCCTCCTCCCTCTCCTCACCCGCCCTTTCAAGTAATGGCCATGAAACTAACTCTTCATCCTCCTCTTCTGCTCATACTGAGACGGTCGCTGTGATCCACCCTCAGCCTGGGGTCCACACCCGTTCCAGACAGTCCAAATCCCACCACCATGCCCCTATCAACCTGCTTCCTGACCACACTCTCCTGCAGATCTTCTCCCACCTCCCAACCAACCAGCTTTGCCGATGTGCACGTGTGTGCCGCCGCTGGTACAACCTGGCATGGGACCCTAGGCTGTGGAGCACCATCCGTCTCACTGGAGAGCTGCTGCATGCTGACCGTGCCATCCGGGTCCTGACCCACAGGCTGTGCCAGGACACCCCCAATGTTTGCCTGACATTGGAGACAGTGGTGGTCAATGGTTGCAAGAGGCTCACAGACCGCGGGCTGCACATTCTGGCCCAGTGCTGTCCGGAGCTGCGACGTCTGGAGGTCTCGGGTTGTTATAACATCTCAAATGATGCTGTGTTTGAGGTTGTCTCCCGCTGCCCCAGCCTGGAACACCTGGATCTCTCAGGTAAAAGTAGAAAAAAAACTATGAAAACTAAATTTCTTTGGGTTTGTGTCATTTTGGCCATTTATTGCTGGATACATTTTTATTTTCTACATTTTCATACTAAATGTTTTGGGGTGCTAACCATATATTAAATTACATCAGTCTTGGAGACAGCTATGCCCCTCTTTGACAAGCAAGTTTTTCAGAATTTTGGATTTCAAAAATAAACCAAATATTAATTTAAACCTTCAGAAGGTCTTAGGGGGAACTTTTCAAACATTAACGGACAAAACAATATGGCTATTCAGGTTTATGAAAGTTCTCACTGTTTTAAAATACCTTGCATACTAACAATGGTAATGAAAAATTACCATTTTTATTAATTCACCAGATCATACAGTCAAATTGATTTTCTAAGGAAAATCAGTTGATCGCATCGACTTGTTGACTTTAAGGCAATCCCTCACATATTTTGAAAAGTTAAATCCGATGTGGGTATTTGCTCGTTTCAAAGCTGTCGCCTAGCCAAAGCTAAATTACCATATAGTTCAGTCACAAGTCTGTAAAACAATTTACACATTAATTTGTTTCTGTTTGAAATGTATCCCGTTTGAAAATAATACAAGATATTTAATGTACATAATTAACTACACACAGAAATTAACTAGTCCAGGTATCTTGTATATTCATTACACAAAAGAGAATTAAGAAGGTCCAAAATGGTAGCATGCAGGTAAAAAAAAACAAAAAAAAAAACAGGGCACAATTTGGTAAAAAAGCCAAAAGACATGGAGCCCCAACCAACCATGTCACTCAGGTTAGATTAGAGGCGAATGCTCCCTCATGTTGTTCACATTTGTGTAGATTTATCTCCAGTCACTGCTTCTCAGTTATTTCTTGTATAGCTGGTAAGATCATTAGAGGTAGAGGAGCAGCTCTGCCAACCTTCAGTCCTCCTGTGGGAGAAGAAAGGCTTTCTTTAACTGAAAGCAGAGGCCACTTTAACATGAGTAAGAGGAGCAATGAGTCTGCTGCTTTCATTAAGGAAGTGACAGAAATAAAGTTGACTTGCTGTGGACTCAGAGCAGAGAAGTGTTTGTACAATTAAATTTGCACTGTGCAAGCAAATACTTTGACACTATGTGGGTTTGATTATAAGAAATATAGTTATTTAAATGACAAAGGCTTAAACTAAGGTTGACTGCGCAGATGTTTTAAAATATCAAACTCTGCTGTTGGAATATTACAAAATACAACAAAACTCTCTGGCGCCCTCATGTGGCAAATCTTTCAAAAAAAGCCATACTACAAAGATAGATGTTTAACTTTGGCCACTGTGATGATTTCATTAATCCTTAGCAATCTGTATTAAATTCCCTACTGACTCAGCTTATTGTAAGTTATCCAGGACAAAACCCGCAGACCCCATTCTGTTTAAAAATAACTTCCAGACATCGGTTTAATTTATTCTGTGGTGGATGAAATTGCTCTGTTTAAAGATCAAGGTCTTTTTAAAGTTCTCCTCTCATATTTTCTGAATGAATAGGGCTATAGAATACACTTTAAAAAAATCTGCATCTCAGATTGAGTTTCCTCCAATGTATCATCACCAAGTCTGCTGCTTGATGAAAGCTGTAAAATAAATTCAGTGGGAGTTAAACCCAGTTCAGACTAACAGAAAGGGAAAAGCAAAGCACAGGAACTGAAAATCCATTAATTTGAAAAATAATTAATAGTCCAACTTTAAAACTTGGGTTTTGGAAGCTGACACTGCAATATGCCGCTGGTCAATGTTGGCTAATTAGTTTCGGCAAAGCTGGCTTCCTTCACTTTTCTATCTGTCCTTTCTGTCAAAGATCTGAACATCATGGTCATCAAAGGCATATCCTTTGCGTTTGAGGTAGAGGTGTACCACATGCTCTTGCCCTGTTGTTGTTTGGTTTCTCTGCAGTCTAAGCAGTTCGCTGCAACACCAGACCACATATACAACACCACTCACCTTTTATTTGGATGCTCTGTCTTTGGGATAAACCAGTTTCTTTGTTTGAGAATGTTGTTAGGTTTGACATTCACCGTTATGTGGTGGTTTAAGAAGATCCTCTGGAGTTTCTTAGAAGTTCTTCTTTGACCCTGCTACATATAAATTATAAAATTACCAAACAAACTGGTGGTTAAATTAGATCCATGTGGAACTACCTTAGACATGTAAAGTGATAATTCTAGGCAATGTCTGATTCACTTCAAGCTTTTTTCTTATCCTTCCAGGTTGCTCCAAGGTGACCTGTATCAGCCTTACCCAGGAGGCCTCCCTCCAGTTGTCTCCTCTCCACGGTCAGCAGATCTCCATCCACTTCCTGGACATGACTGATTGCTTTTCGCTTGAGGATGAGGGTTTGCGAACTATCGCCTCCCACTGCCCTCGCCTCACTCACCTGTATCTGCGACGCTGTAGCAGGCTAACAGACGAGGCCCTTCGCCACCTGGCCCTTCACTGCCCGTCGATAAGGGAGCTGAGTCTCAGTGACTGCCGGCTGGTGGGGGATTTCGGGCTGCGTGAGGTGGCCCGTCTGGAGGGCTGCCTGCGCTACCTGAGCGTGGCCCACTGCACCCGAATAACGGATGTTGGCATCCGCTACGTTGCCCGCTACTGCCCAAGACTGCGCTATCTTAACGCAAGGGGGTGCGAGGGGCTGACTGATCACGGTCTGGGACACCTGGCTAGGAGCTGCCCCAAGTTAAAATCTCTGGATGTGGGTAAATGCCCACTGGTGTCGGACAGCGGGTTAGAGCAGCTGGCTATGTACTGCCAAGGTCTGAGACGGGTGAGCCTCCGAGCATGCGAGAGCGTCACGGGTAGAGGACTCAAAGCTCTGGCCGCAAACTGCTGTGAGCTGCAGCTACTCAACGTGCAGGACTGTGAGGTGTCGCCAGAAGCGCTGCGCTTCGTCCGGCGCCATTGTCGCCGCTGCATCATCGAGCACACAAACCCAGGTTTCTACTGATTGATGTGGAGGGTTTTTCTTTCGGCTAGCATTTGTCTTTTAAATCCGCCCAGGTGCGGTTTATCTTCAAAGCAGTCTTCAGCAGAATGTATTTAACAGATTTATCTGTAAAATAAAGTGTTTCACTTTTATGACATCGTCCCCTAGCATCATCATTAGCATTGTAACACTGAGCACTGAGTACAGTTGTGTGAACTTTTAAAGCCAATTAATATATATATATTGTACTTAAAATTCAACACCAATTTAGGTTCTCATCATAATCTATTTATAGACACATTTCATCAAACTGAGAGTATAAAAAAGGAAAAAGAACAAAAAAAAAACAAAGTATTGATTTCTATCTGTTCTGCGCTGACAATCATTTCAGTTCCAGGTGTCGAAATTTACACTTTCTTTGATCATATTAAGGTATCTCTCGCATTAGAATAATTAACTGCTTTGTATTAAGACCAATGTCAGAAATAAATGGGGACACATTGCTGCTAGATCTGTGCCAATAAATTTTTTTTCCCAAAATCCATGTTTATGAGTCATAATTAACAATATTTATGAGCAGCATTTGAAGGGTTCTGATTTGATTTCAAGTAACATTAAGACTTTATAAAGAAAAAAGATATGATTCCATTTTGAACTTCCTTTTTAATTATTTTCAACAGACAACACTTTTATATTTATATTCTTTGTCTCCATCCATCTTTTCCATTTATTCCATCAGGGTCGCAGTGCCTATCTCCAGCTGTCAAGGGGATAGAGGCAGGGCACACCCTGGACAGGTCACCAGTCTGTTGCAGGGCAACACATAGAAACACATAGGCATTTAACCACACACACACTCACACCCAAGGACAATTTAGAGAAGCCAATTAATCTAACAGTCATGTTTTTGGACTGTGGGAGGAAGTACCCGGAAAGAACCCACGCAAACTCCATGTCCATATGTTCCTCACAGGCGTGCAAAAAGGGCAAGCCTTCAATAGTATTGCTGTATTAATAAGGGAATAGCTGGGCTCCACCTGTTGTGAAACATTAAAGCTTTAGAGGGTCTCTGATCTCATCCATCCCTTAACTATCCAAAACCATTTCAATCCTTATGTTATATTTCGGAGGACCTGGTTTAATGGCGTGCTGCTGTGAGCTGTATATTTAGGTGATATCTATCATCCTTCCTATCCATTCCTTTAGGTATTTCTCCCAGCACTGCAATCAGGTGGGTTGTTGGATCCTCTCTTCTGGAAATCTCTTCCCAGAATGCACTTAATTTCGGAAAAGATTAGAAGATAAGAGTATGGTTTGCAGTTTGTGTCCTACAGTTTCTTCAGCATGACGATTACATTTTTTTAGTAAAAACAGCAACTATCCATCTATCTAATGTCACTTGTTTGTCAGGATGATGGGGAAAGCAGAGACTAAAGCAGGAAAACAATCCTGCAGTTTAAACAAGTATTCACATCCTTAGAACTTACTATACAAAAATGTGTATAATTGTAGAGAGCAAGGAAAGTAATACAAAATTTTCTGAACGTTTTTGCCAATAAAACTAAGGACAAATCTCCCCAAAGCAAAATGCTGCTCCAACAATATTGTTTCATGTTGGTTTAAGGTAGTTTTTATTTTCCGGCAGATTGTTTTTTGGAGTCTGAGGATAAATGCCTTTTAGATGAAATTACAATTTTCATATTTAATATAAACTTACACAAGTTGACACTAACACAAAAAATGTCTTCCCTGTTATCTGTGATGAAGCGATTTTAGCCTGGTTTTTACTGGGTTTTAGACTGTATTCATAATGAACACAATAGATTTAGGATTATTTATTTATAGTTGAAAGCATTAAACTTTAAACCAATAAACTTTATATTAAATCAGTATTTAATCTTTAACTGGTTATTAAAACTACTTCAGCCACCCACACACACACACACACACACACACACACATATAAATATATATATATAATACAAAAAAAGAAAAAGCCAAGTCCTAAAGTCCTATTTTCACTTGATAGTTGTTCTTTACAATGTGTGTGTTTGATTTTTATGGTTCTAAAGTAAAGAAGTAGAAGGTCAATGGGGTTTAAAACACATTTCTAAGACTTTATAAGCTTGCTCTTACATGGGCTGATTTTTATTTCAAGTCAAGAGAACATTTGTTGAACTGTTAGACCAAACAGTGATATGTTGAAAAGAATAATGACATTTGTTTTGTCTAATTTTAGAAAGTATGAAGCAAAATTCTTCACACACCAAGAAAAAACGTTTTTTGTATCACATCATGTAGTGAAGCATACCTCTTTTCTCCTTTTTTATTTGTAAACTTTTAGACTTTTAAGAGTTCTTAAAGGTGCAAGTATAAAGTCCAAAACCAGACAAATGTGTGTGTTGGACGGAAAAACATAATTAGATTTTTTTTTTTAGTTCTATCACTTTCTGATTGTGACCACTAGAGGTCACTGGAGGTTTGCCTTTTTTCTTAGCTTTTACTTGGCACTGAGGTAAAATCATCTGTGCCCCAAAAGTCTTAATCTTATGCAAGAATCCATAAGCACTCAGACACTGCCATACTGATGTAAGCTCTGCATTGGTGGTAATGTGTAATTGTAGCAGAGGGAGAAGATTCCAAATTTTGGGAGACACTTTTAATCATCCTGACACTTTTTTCAATCCAACTGAACCTCTCTCATGAACACTAGGATTAGCTGTTTATAAACTGTACTTTCAGCCACACTATCTGAGGCAGCAGTTTAATTCCTTGTTAATATTGACCTCTGCAACTGAAACTGCAAAATTTATAAACCAAAATATAGGTATGAAAGGCAGCGATTCCTGTAATGACTGTGAAATGTCACTTTCTTTAGATATATTCTTAACTCCCATTTCATCTCCCTTCCAACAGGAATTGATAGGAACAAACTTATTATATTTGTATAAATATAGTGCCCCAAAATATATCTGCGGTGCAAGACAGTTTTTCAAATTTGTCTCATCAATGCCACACATTTTAAACATTTATTTGGATTTGAAGTTAGAAACCAACTGAAAAAAAAAAAGTTTGTAGGCAGTTTTTTCCAGCTATGTGAGGAAGGAAAATAACACATGGTTTCAATAGTTTATGAATAACAAATTGAGAACCGTGGTGTGCCTTTGCTTTCAGTCTTCTTAGGCAATACTTTGTTTAACAATTACAACCACAAGGATTTTGGTGAATGCTTTCTGTTCATCCCCAGAATAGCAGAAGCTGCCAGATTGGGTGGTTGCTTCAGTAAAAGGAATTGAAAAGTTGTTTGAATAGATTTAAGGAAAGGTGATTCTAGAAGGGGGCCAACAGGGGAACTGGTCCTGGCCCCTGTAATGGCACCTATACTGAAAGAATAGACTACAGAAAATATAATGTAAGTCAACTTTCTTGGAAAGGCTGCATCTTCCCTTGATCAAAAAAAGTTACTAATGGAATAAGAGGATTTACAACTAAAATGAGAAAAGAAACTGCTCCATTATCCTATTTCAAGTTGATATGTAATTATGTTATTATAAGGGTAAAATACTCATACCTTTGGCAGCTAATCTTATATATTTACTCAGTTTAATGGTAAAATTGCTTATTTTAAGAGCTTTTTACTTTTATGGCTTAGTGTTTGCTGTTTCATAGCAAAATAATTTCCCATGATTATATGCGATGACAGAAGGAACTGCACTGCAAAAAGTGTCTATGTAACCAAGTCTCACAACCTTAGATCAACCCAAAAAAAAATTTTGGGATATTTTTCTAGACTGATTTACTTCTTGTTTTGAGAATTTTATATCATAATTTCAAGGGAGCTTGCAAAGTGTATCACTGTATTGGCAAATTATTGCATTTATTTTTAGAATTTACTCAAAAGAAGATTAATAATCTAACAGAATCTGCTCTTAAGTGAATCAACCTAAAGACAAGGTAAAATAGATTATTTGGTTAAACCCTGGTCAGATTCAGTTTGTCAGTGAGTAACTGATTCGTACCTCGGACAAATCATCATAGCTGTACCGTTGACTTTAAATATTATTTGCAAATTACAGTCATTTTTGCGCTTTAGCTATATTAAAACACAACCACAGTTTTTATCTGTTAGATCATTAGTCTGCAACTATGCTTTTGGGAGTCACTTAATATACTATTAAACTTTTTAATTGTATTTATTATTTTTGTTAGGCGTCCCCATGAGAAACACCGGCCCAACCCTGGCCCCTGTGATAAATTCAGTCTAGAACCACCATTAGATTTAGATGTAAGCCATTCTGATATGTGAAAATGCTATGAACAGAATCACAATCCAAATTCCGTTATCTGTCATTGAGTACAACCAAATTCATTCCACCCAATCATTGGGGGACAGGTGCCTGAGGCTGCAGCCAATGGGAGGTGCTGCCTTTGCCTTAGAAAGATGATAATAAATCATTTAATTCCAGCTCCGGATGTATATTTAGAGTTTTTGTCTTAGAAGTTGAATCCTCAGACCAGTTTTGAGTCTGTTGAAGTCTGTAACAGGTTTCTTTTATAACCTTAACCATCTTCTATGACATGAATTCAGGTTACTGATTGTAGTGGAAAAAACTGCAGAAGGTAGGATTAAAACATTTCTGACGAAACTCAGCTTCTCGTGAGGAGGTCAGCGGACTTTTGGGACATAAAGAATCAAAAAGCAAGAAAATAAACAACCATTGGGAATACATTCGTCATTTAATCTGTTAAACCTAAATAAATAGATATACTGTATAAAATAAAACATATTTCTTTGCACATTTTCTCAACATGCTCCTCTATTTTTTTCAAATCTTTAAATGCAGAATTAAAGGTCATAAAAATCGCTTAAAAATAAATAGTGTATAAAAAGTCAGAAGTTATAAGGTTGTAGTTGCAGCAAAGCTTAAGTTTCCTTCCCTTGCTAGAATTAAATGAAGCCGTTCATTATGGCTGTGTTTAACTCTTCCTTTTTGCAGACAGTTTCAGAAATTAAGACCTTTAAACATGTGTTTCAGGTCTTCATCAGTCATAGTGTTTTGGCAGTGCAAACACTGTGTGTCTTCAGTAAATTGAAGCAGTTGCAGATTGCCCTTCTCCAGGGTTTTGTGCCAAGGTTGCCTTCTCTTCATAATTTCAGTCTTTGCTGCTGTAGGTGTAGCGTCTTTGCTGCTGGATGTGCTGCTCTTCCCAGTCTGGATGTTTGGCTCGATTCATGCAGCAGCAGTGGTGCATCGGCTGCGCCAGCGTCACCTGTGAGGGAGAATGCAAAACATTAGTGTCTGCTGTGTTGGGCTTTGAAGATTGAAAGTTGATGGAAGGAATGGCTTTAAGTACCTGAGATTTGAACACACGTAGCTCTTCATGAATCTTTTTATAGCGTTTCTCTAGTTCCAGATTTTTCCCCTTCAGCTTCTCCCTGTCTCTTCGCTCTCTCAGAAAGTCCTCCTTGTAGACTTCCGCCTAGATAACAGAAACAAAGCATGTGAGGACATAGGAAATCAGAGTGCAGTGGATGGAGTTTGTTCATCCTCATTCTTATTAAAGGAATTCAGTCAATTTAGCTCATACTGTAGACAGGGAGCACAACGCTGGTGTCACATGAAAGCAGCAAATAACCAGTTTGGTTCTCACAGCCATCCCTTCAAATAGATCTTTCATATTCAGTTACTTTTTTCCCCCCAGCTTTTATTGTCATTACAGTGTAACAAGTACAGAGCAACAAAATGAACTCTATGCATTTAACCCATCCCCTTGGGGAGCAGAGGGCTGCCATTGTGTGGCGCCCGGGCAGCAGTGTTGGGTAAAGGGTCTTTCTTAGGGACCCAAAGTGGCAGTCTGTGGGAGTGGGGCTAAAACTCAAAACCTCAGGATTGCAAGCACAATACCCACTAGGACAGGCATCCCCAAAGTCGGTCCTCGAGGGCCACTGTCCTGCAGGTTTTAGAGGTTTCCCTGCTCCAGCACCACTGGTTTTAATTAAAAACTGATTAACGGGCATTTGCTCAGCTGCAATCATCATAATCAGCTGTGCTAGAGCAGGGAAACCTCTAAAACTCCCCTGGAAAATTTGAATGTCTTAATTGTCCCACAATAGGGACATTCGTTCTCTGCATTTAACCCATCCCCTTTGGGATCAGTGGGCTGCCACCCCCCACTGCTCCCATGCCCAGTGAGCAGTGGGGGGTTAAGGGTTTTTGCTCAGGAACCCAGAGTGGAGGTTGTGGGGATCGAACCAGGTAATTGCAACCTTCACAGAGCACATGCGCACCGCTCTAACCACTAGGCCAACACTCCCCATATGTAGTTACAGTTTTTCCGCACCTTTTTCCTGCAAATAAAAACCCTAATATGAGCATCCTGATTTATTAACACAGCTGATAATGTTTATGGATGTTTTGATTGGATTTTACAAACAGTGTTGCAAACAGGGGTGCACACTGTTTTAAACAACTTTTACAAAGATCAGCTGGTGTTTTTTATATAAACAGCATTTATAAATCCCAATGTAAACAGGGATTGTGTCCTTTGCTCTGTACTACAGTAGGCCCAATAAATTTTTTTAGATATTTGTGAATATTTTTACACCCGTGTGGAACATACCTGTAAAAACAACACAAATCAAAGGATCTTGTAAAAAATAATTTCATGGATGCAACTTCGCATAAACACAGCTAAAGGTATCCCAAAATTGATAAAAACTATCTCAACAGTTGCAGGACAGCTTGTAGAAATGTGTGCTCCATACATTACTCCACTGGAACAGACATGATATCCTTTTAGAAGCAGACTTTGATCATATCTCACCTGATGTTTCCAGATGTCTTGTAGTGTTTCGCTGCTCATCTCCTGAGGCTGAGAGCTCTTTAGCGTCTCCTCTAAGACCTAAACGACACACATTGAATCATATGTTAGAACCATTCTAACATGCCTGACGCATGGTGCATGTTTATAAAGCGGCGGTCAGACCTTGTTGAGCCGCCTGATCTCCTCCTGCTGATGCTGCCACCTTTGGCTCAGAGCGTGGTTCTGCGCTCGCAGCTCTTCCTCTGTAGTTTGTAACTTGTTTCTAACGCCATCTGTTCTAGGCTGGATGAATAAATTGAGACAGCTCAGAAATGAAAACTTAAAGCCAATATATTGAACGCTTGTCTGGTGTATTTACCTGAGGGTCTTGATGGGCATGTTCCTTTTTAGAAAATGTGACATGCTTCTCCTCTTCATGACTTTTTTCTTCATCAGTGAGACTATCTTGTGTTAAAGCCTTTAAAAACTGGACCTGTGGATTAAGAAAAGTCAATGAAGCTAAAATAACAGGAAAAACAGAATATAATAAATAAAGTAAAAGTATCCACACCCCTTGAACCTACTCAAATGCTGTCATGTTATAGCCACAAACTGACAGGACATAAAAAGTTAAGGGACTTTATTTTTTCTTTAACTTTTTTCTAATTGATATTTGAAGGTCACTGGAGCAGTTGGATTTGGGGGACAGGGATGAGGTTGTGAAGAAGGTTAAAAATCAGAGTTAGGTTATAATTCGGCCAAATGCCCTGCACAGATTTACAGCTCATGTGGTCTAATCTGTCAGCTGGAAAACTTTTACTGATGTACTTTATAGATTTTTGATTTTTTATTTTAAAGAAAGTAACAGAGAATACCATTTGCAGTTTACCACAAGCCATGGAGTTGTGGCAAACAAGGTTCTCCGGTCAGATAAGACCAAAAATTGGCCCATACAAAATGTTAGATGTGACAAAAAACATACTGATCTCAAAGCACCTTTTACAAGTTGTAACATTGCAATGGCACCATTAAACTGTTGGACTAATTTTCACCAACATGAAAAAAAGAAGAGCGGATGAATTCACAAAAAAAAAAAAAACCCTGAAGTTGAAGCTAGTCATCTAGCACAGGTGTGTCTAAAAGTTGATCCTCAAGGACCACCGCCCTGCAGGTTTTAGAGGTTTCCCTGCTTAAGCAAAGCTGATTTCTTTTGACAGCGAATTGACAGGCTTCGCTAAACAGTAGTCGTGACAATCAGATCCGCTGAAGCCAAAAAAACATTGAAAAGCTGTTGGACTGACTTTGGACATGCTTGATCTAGCAGAAAAAAAAATACATAATGGAACGGAATAGATCAAAGCATTAGAATGGTCCGGGCAAAATCAAGACCTACGTCCAAATAAAAATCTTTAGCTAAACTTAAGAATTGATGTTTCCAGAAACTTGTAATCTAGCTTCAGGTATGCTGCCTGCTAAGGTGTTTCAGAAACACATTAAAAGATTTCCAGCTGCCGTTCCAGCAAAGATCATACTAAAGACTAGTGCTGAAACAATTGATCATATTTATTGTGATTAATCAATTATTAAAATAATCATCAACTAATTTAGTAATCGATTAATTGTTAACTGGAGTATAGAGATTCTAAAACATGGCTTTAGCTGACTTAGAGCAGTAATTATATCAAAATTGTAAAAATTATATAAACATTTTGCATTTAAGATAAAAAAAAAATGTATTTGTCTGTCAATATTCTCTATCCATATCTCAAGTACAATTTTTTTATTTCAGTTAGATTAATTTCATAAAAAAAAAATCTTCTTTAAGGAACCTTTGGCTATCCGATTATTGGTTGATTAATCGAAAAAATAATCAACAGATTAATCAATTTGTAAAATAATCTAGTCAGATTTTTTAATGTGTTAACTTATTAAAAACAACATTTTGTGATTGTTATAAGACAAAACCTGGAAATGTCCAAAGGGTGTAAATATGTCTACCAGGCACCGTATGAGCTCTTTAAATAATAAGGATGTTCTTACCTTTTTCTTGTAAAACTGCATCATGGTTCTATATTCTTTTGCCCACTTAGTATTAATAGCAAGAAGCTGTGTAAAAAAAAGAGAACTCTGTAAAAACGAAACCTTTAAGCATAAGTAGAGCAATCTGAAATCTGAAATATGCAAACCTCTTTATTCTGCTGCTCTAAGATGAGAATCTGCTCTTTCATGGTGTCATGACTGCTGACTGGCTTTTCAAACTGCAAAACATGGAAGGGAGAAATTGAGGAAGTATTCATCTGCAGCATCCTAGAGTGACTCTGCAAGTATTTATGCAATATAAAGTACAACCCAGCTAACTTCCTTTTGCACAGTTTTGGAAGTTTTGCTGTACTGTTGCAGCAACACACAAGGGGATCATCATGAGACTGAAAAACATTCACCAACCTGTGTGTCTTTCTTTAAACTTTGACCCTCCACAGCCGTCCATCGCGTTTCCCCAGTGGAGCCAAGAGGGAGGCAAACATCATACCTAAAAAAGACAAATGATATATGTAAAATGATCAAGTTTTTTTTTATATATATATTAAACCATCAGTAGAAACATATTATGTATAAGAGTCTTACCTGTTTATAGTTGGTAATGTTGGATACAGTCTCTGGGTTTGTTTGTGTTCTGTAGCCTGCAGCGTCTTCGTAAGCAGAGTGTCTCCAGTATTTCTGTCAACAGACTGTAAGAATAAAAAATAAGACAAACCCAAACTAATAAGGTAACAAATAAAAACAAACTTTAATTGTTATTTTGGTCATTTTGAGTGTCTTTTCTTTTATGGTCTTTATTTTTCCCTTGAGATAAAGAAAACTGATGAGAAAACACAAAAAATGTGTACTGGTTTGATCCTTTAATTAGTACTCTAAAAAGTGATTGGTTTTAAGTCCAAAACATTCATGGAGAGTTGGTGCTGAGGCAAGAAGAAAAATTTTGAACATGAGTCAGAATAAGGTTTGGCTCAGACTTGCAGTAAGTTATCTTAGTTCATCCCGGTCATTTAGATATTTCCATTTAGACATTACAAAACTGTTTGAGTCACCACTTCTTTAATGTTGTCAATCAGCAATTCTTAAGGGTTTATTAAGCCTTTTCCAACATAATGTTTTAAATTCTAAATAAAATAAAAATATTATTAAACTGATTTTGTAAATCCTTTTACTTTGCATCAATTTTCTGTCAGTCTTTACAGAACTATTATATATATGAGAATATTTTATCTATCTATCTATCTATCTATCTATCTATCTATCTATCTATCTATCTATCTATCTATCTATCTATCTATCTATCTATCTATCCATCTATCTATCTATCTATCTATCTATCTATCTATCTATCTATCCATCCATCCATCCATCCATCCATCCATCCATCCATCCATCCATCATCATCTAGTTCATCACATTTCCTCTCTGT